GCGTGTGTTCCAACACCCTGAAGACGCTAAGCACCATGGGAAGGCGAGACGTGAGTATGCTTGTAGATTTTCCGCGCTACATCTGAATGTCAGCGCGTCTCGGCTAAATGACGTAATACGTAGCGCGAACTACGCGGTTGTTGTTTTGACAGAAGGGTAAAAGCAAAGTCAGAAATGGGGTGAGATGTGACGACAAGACTTACAGATGAATGGGAGGACGAGGGATAACATTAAAAGAATAATTCTTATTAAATTCCAACGGGGTTTTACGCTCGCAAAGTTTAACGTTTTTTTGCCATTTCATATTTACACACCAGAACATCAAAATGTCGGAAAAAAGTTTTGAATAATGGCGTAACTGTGACATTAAGTTGATATATTTTGTTACGTTTACTTTCGTCACAGAAATGTTAGTTATCTCTTTGTCGCTTATTTGGTAAATAAGTGGGTTATTTATTCGTCTAGCTTAAATGTCAATATCAAAGTCTGTTTGTAAGTACAACAGCTAGAACCTAATTAAGTGATGTCGAAATTTTGTCATTGCGGGCCCCGTGAGAAATTTCAAGGATTCTCCAGCGGACGGACTTCAGGGTCGCAATTTAAAAGTCACGTCCACAGATTTATTTCATATTGCCAGTCCTCAGCGCTGAGCCTTACGTAGGTCGACAGCTGATGCCCACCGCCTGTCTAATCCCACTCGAGTCACGGGTGAACCGACATTTAAGTACGCTGCCTGTATTCTTTTGTGTATCAGATGTCTGGAAGTATTCTTAAAGAGCCGAGCTTCTACTTGTTAAGACTCGAAGGAAATTCGACATATTTTAGAATTTCCAGTACAGCAGTTACTGACCTCGCCAAGAAATGCCCAGCCTCTGATGAAATACATCTTAACTCCAATCTGCCATGAGCTAACTGAATCCAATCAATGTATTTTTAAGATTCATTTTAATATTATCCTTCCTCTAAATTTGCGTCTGCCAAGTGATCTATCACCACTTATGATACTTTGGGGTGTGTAGTATAGATAATTATAAAGGAGAATAATTTAATGCTTCTGCATCGTGTAATATCTCTACTGTTTATTTTTTCTGTCGAAAAAAAATTCTTGCCTTTCGTAAGTAAAACTGAAGACCGCAATAAGAACTGCTTTCAGTCGGAGACTGAAGCACAAATGCCTTCGAGTTTGCGGAATCGCCGTGATAGTGCGACTACTTCTCCGACTTCGCTGCGAAGCTGGCTACATAAACACTTTTCGAAGGCGTTGCTGTAAGTAAGCATGGTTAGAAGTTCTCTGCATTTTATAGAACCCGAAGGTTCAATTGCCGTGTTCACAAGAACCCCTAATGGTTCGTATCCTGAGCCAGATAAATCCATTTCACACGCTCCAACCACATTTCCCAAAGATCCATTTTAGTATTATTCTCCCACCTATATCCAGGTTTCCAAGCGGTCACTTCCCTTCAGGCGTTCAAGAAAGAAAGTTGTACGCATTTCTGATGGCTCCCATGCGCGCTACATGCCCCGTCCATCTTATCCTGCTTTATTTATACACCCTAATAACACATGCTGACGAGTATAATCGGTTTATGCAGTTTTCTTCTGTGACTTAAATTAGGCCTTTAGCCTCTCCTTCCAAACTTCATCCGGTTCATTATTCACTAATCATCCAATTATTCGACGCTATGTAGTCTCAGCTGCTAAGAGTGTCGTTAAGTAAATTGCAAATAAATAAATAAATATATAAATACATTTATAATTCTCTTCTAATGGAAAGCCAACAATCAACACCAATACTAGATAGTGAAGGCATTTGTAAGACCACATCTAAAGATCCGTTTTAATATTATCATCTGACTAAAACCGTGTGCACAGATTCCAGTGTTCCGTGGGGCCTCTGATTCTCTTGTGAAGACGTCACTGCGGGCGGAAAATATCCACGGGTCTGACGGCTTTGGGAACGCGAAATTCCTGGACTCTCCGGTCGTGGATGACACAACGCTGCAGAAGGAACACGCAGTCAACTTCCTCACCCGGATCGCGTCGGAGAACCCAGGTACAGTCATAATTTGTGTACATAACACGGGGCTACAACCCAGAAGACGGCCATATCTCGGATAAACGATGAGTCGCTTTTTTTTCTTGTCCAGTTATGGAAGAAACGTGAATATGTCACAATCCATCGTGAGAATTCAAAAACGTAAATGTTTTTTGGAGTCGTTCGAAGTAAAATTCGATAAGATAACGCGATATATTCTTTATATTGGATGCAAGACGATGGTTTATATTAAACTTCCTTTTATCTCACGTGGATTAATGCATTCTGTCACAGGTGCAGTGACACTGTTGTGTCTTGGACCACTTACGAACATTGCCCTAGCGATAAGAATGGATCCAAGTTTCTGCGGAAATATCAAAGAGGTGTTTATCATGGGTGGAAATACGGAAGGTAAGTCATTTTCCCTGTATAACGAAATAAATATGTAATTTATTGCTTCGTAAATGGCTGAGGGAGGTTATTAAGACCCTACTGTGAATGCTGTGTTTAGTGCTGCCAGCCAAATGACACTCACGTTATGAGCAGCGTGTATTGTAACAATGGAGTAAACACCGCCGCGCGGAATGTTATTTGATTGGTTAGTATATCCTTTGCCGTCTCGTTTGATGAACCAAGACATCATGGAATGAAGACGGACATTATAAATTCTTCGATTGACTTTGTATTTTTAAGATTCATTTTAATATTGTTCTCCTGTCTGCGATACGTCTCCGAAGTGGTGGATTTTTTTTTTTGCAGGGTTACCGGCTAAGTATGTATTTATCACGTCTCCCATGCGTGCTACGTATCTGAAACAAGTTTATGAAATCTAAGAGAGTCTGAAGTACCTTTAGTACTTGATACATGTACTGTTGGCTTCATTCCAGGGGTAGGGAACACAACAGCTGCCGCTGAGTTCAACTTCTTTTGTGATCCAGAGGCGGCTTATGTCGTGTTACACAACATGAAGTGTCCAATTTCGATATTTCCTTGGGAGGCCGCGTATAAAAACGGCAGAATTCCGTGTGTAAGTACCCTGGGTTTGGTCTGAGAATCGTACAAAACCAATAAATGCACTGTGTGGGCTAGATAAATGTTAAATCAGGTGGTATATATAGTTACCACTATACTTTGTTCGTAGGAATGGAGGAGGAATGTTCTGGGAGCCATTCAGAGCCCACAGGCTCGGCTGATGAACGCGGTTGAACGCGACTCTCTGGAGAGAAAGGGTAAGGACGGAGTCTGGATCCAGTGCGATCCATTGGCAGCAGCCATTTTGTTCCTGCCCAAGGACGCAGTTCAGATCAAACAAGTCTACGCGTCGGTAGAGCTTCATGGTCTCAACACCAGAGGCGCTATGGTGGTGGACCACTTAAATACTTCGGGGTTAGAACCGAACGTTTCTGTAGTCGAAAAGGTTGACTTAGAAGCGTACAAGGGGTTACTGCTGGAAGCATTCGCCCCCGAAATGGCAAAATTCTGATTCTTCAAGAAATGTTATCGGTTTTCCACGCCTCACCCCACAACTCATGTCTAAAACCAACCTAAGCCCAGCAAATGTTTCGCATTTCACGACAAATTATGCTTAGTGATGGCTGAGGAAAAACACTTTGCCACAGCTGCAACTTCTGAGCTCGATATTTGGAAACAATCAATATACAGGTTGCCCCCAAAAATATGTAAACCCCCTGTAATACGGAATATTAACCTTCTTATCTATCGTGATGTGGTGATGTGTTCACGACGATTCAAGTAAAATCCAGACACCGGCGTGTGTTGAGTGGTTGGTACTCCTGATTTGTATTTATAGTCCCGTTTCTAGCTCTACGGCTTTGGTTTTCGTGATTTTACTCTGTTCCTTCAGACAAATTCTGGTGTAATACCTTGAAATATACTTTCTATCTTTCTCAATGCATGGTTCATAATCATCGTCCTAGCCGACGCCATGTAATCTGCATGGATTTGACACGTCGTCATGTAAACTAACAACGGACCGCTAATACTTCAATGGAGAATCGTGTTAATTGGTAATTTTCGTTCTATGTTGGCATCACTGAATGGTGCGAAACTTTATACGAATTTTTGCGCCGTGTTTGTTGTAGTTGGTATCATGGGAAATCATCGTGAGCGCGTGGAGGAACCCTTTCTAGAATTTGTTGAAAACGTAAGTTGAACGAACCTTTGAAAGGTTACCGAAAACGTGGGTTTCATGTAGATCAGTGCAGTGTGGACGTGCACAATAAATAATAAATCAGACAATGTGATTTAACCTTTAACTTTTGGTATCGCCTGTTGGAAACTTTTAAGCCACATTTTAAAACTTAAGTGTCGTGCCGTCCTAAGTCCAAATAATCTCCTCACGCCTTCAATCTGTGTTATTTCGTTCGTGTAAAAGTCACCCATACAAAAGAACAGATAAACCACTAAAATTTAAAAAAAATTAAAAACAAAAACAAATTTTGGTTATTTTTAATCGTCAAACGGCGAGATCCAATTCTGAATCCAATTCCAAACCAAGTTATTTGACAAAGATCTGGGAAAAATATTTTTTTTGGGGGGGGGGGTTTCCTAATGGGACGTGGTGATAACTGGGGTAGGTAAGAATGTGGATTTTTATTCGGAGAGTTCTGGGTTAGGTCCGGTTGAGATCTGTGTGTAGATTGCTTTCCTCACAGACGGAAACTCCTGTCTCCGCGAGAGCTGAGTGCTAGTGACCTCAGCGTGTATCGCAGGTTGCCCGTCGTCCTCCTACCGCCATTGTCTCTCTCCAAGTTTGTTGGGCTCTGTGGGGGGCTGGGGTTAGAGGCAATAGATGGGATTTCGTAAATGAAAATTACAGAGCTTAATCTTGTTTATTGGAAAGGCTGCATTCTTTTAACACATGACATTAATGACTCAGTGTCTCTGTAATTTCATATCTTTGTTGTTTTTGTTTTTTACATCAAGGGCACTTGAGGTATTAAGCATTTATGATAATTCGCTGAAATATTTTGAATTGTTTAGCGTTTGCTCTAATAAAATATTACATTCCCATGTCTGTTCTCTTGACAATATTTTCGCAGACGTCTAAACCTCTTCATTTCAGAAAACGTCGTTCATCAGCCGAAAAATTATTCATCCCACAAGAGGCGAGGGTTGTCCAAACAAGAGAGGCGATGTACGTTCATACAGCCGATATTTTGATTGTGACATTGTGTAGTCTGGTAAATTTTAATCGACGTTTCAGAGGTTCTTACTGCATCCACTAAAACGACGCTCATCGATCAGACAATGGAGGCGGTAAGCACTTCCAAAACGTCAGTTAACTTCTACCAGGCTACAATTTTATTTTTCTTTAAATTGTGTCACGAAACGTCTATTTAAGGAACTTTGCATAATGGTACAGCGATGTCATATAAATACGGATTTAGAGTGGTAATTAATTCGCTGCTATTTGCGGTTGTGAAACGAAAATAAAGTCTAAGGAAACAGAATGTAGAGGCGCTGTAGTGTTCCCACATCGGCCGAAAACCTTGACGCAGATGTTGGCAACCTTTGAATTCCCGCGGGTCGTCGTCCAGAATCACAGAAAGAAAAATTAATAATGCCGCAGACAGTACGCGAAATTGTATCCCTTTATCTTCAACAATGTGGATGAAATTCACTTGAAAACGTTCGCTTTATTTCATTGTTAAGACTCTTGGCTTCAAACATTTTCGAATTCAATGATTCAGGTCATTGTTAACTTCGTATAATTTCAGTAATTTTCACATTGTTGAGTCAAATCTCGTATTATTTGAATAACAGAACAATATACGCATATAAACAACTTCTTTCACGCTTCTGAACGGATACGAAATATTTATCGTAAAACATCGCTCAGTGCTCGTGAAAAACGTTGTAAAAATTATACGGTTTTTTGTGACTGTGAGTTGGCTCGGCGCGCAGGAGTTGATCGCTTGTTTGACTTTCTCACACTCACTGACTGATGGGTTTAAAATTGTCTCTGCTTCTTTCTTTGTTCTCGTTACCAGACTAAACAAACCAAAGCATCACCACGTCGTGACTAAATCGAACTAAACCTCAGCGTTGGTAGTGATACTTGACACAGTAATGCAAACTTATACACGAACGTTGGTGGACAACAATAAGACAACTTGACAAGGCCACAATCGACGGACGGCTTTGTTTTAAAATGTAAAAGATGACTGAATGTCTGCTTCGGTTATAGACATTCAATAGAAAAGAAGTTATTTATCTGATTCAAAGACACTACTATAAATAGTCGATTGTAACTAATTTTACATAAAAGTAAAGGAAAGTAGAATGTCTACAAATTTATTTGTTTCGTTTTAACCAAAGTGTGTACATTTCCTTTCTTAATTCCTTCCACGAGAATGACATTTTAAAGGCTCCAGAGACTAAATTTAAAACAAGGTCAAACGTGAATCTGTGGGCGCATTAAAATAAATAAAAAAATAAGTGCAGATCGGAGCAAACCGATATTGACGACTTAGTATCTGTCCTCTTGGAGTAGGCGAGTCTTTGCTGGTTGCGCTAGATTCGGCCGCTCCCTTCTTTTGTTTTGGCGATTACCAGTGACGTCGTCGTTGACCGGAAGTCTACGGGTCGAGTGTGTGGGGTCGGGGCCCTGCGGGGGGCAGAATAAAATATGTTCAGCACAAAATTATGAAAATTATCAGGCTGGCAACATTTCATGGAGTCCGACAAGATACATTACCCTCGTTACAAGATGCTACCTTGATTTAAAATGAATCTAATCCACACTATTATAGGCCTACACCATTTCAACGTTTTCTTTCCATCTATGACTAGGTCTAGCATGGGAACTCTTTCTACCTTTAAATTTCACTGACAAAAATGCGTTATTTAAGTCGATCATCTTTCCATGAATTGATTACCCTGATAATACGTGTTTAAATATACATCCGCCCTCTCACATCCAGATACTCCACTCAGCACCCTGTTCTTGAACACCCTTAATTCGTGTTCATCCCTTGAGGTAGGAGGCAAAATTTCACTCCGAAGCATTATACAAATTACGTCTAAAATTACATTAATTTAATAAGTTTCAATATTATTAATAGTGATACAGATACTATGACTAATGCACCTGTAATTTTCGTGATGATCCACTCGTGATATTCTGTTCAATTGTCCGGGTAGAAACGGCTGAATGCAAACAAGCAGCAAGATGCATATGATTCGTACGTGACCAAAACACTTCATTGCGTAAGGAAACAGTTTACGATCGCGTTGTTGGCAGTCAGTCCACCTGATGAGTCCTGAGCCCCTCGTGTGCCTTATATACTCCCGAAAGAATATGACAGCCAATCCAGTGTCACCCCTCTAATCAGCGAATATTTCTTTAGGGTGGACGTACGTATCACAGCGTTTTTCTGCGATCTCTTGGACGCCATATTTGTTCATTTTCCTCTGGATGGCAATAAGGTCAGAGGCAACGAGTAGTTTGGAAGTGTCCGCCTTACGTACAGAAGCATCGGTGGCGGACTGGCTCTATTTAGTTTATAAAAAATGACTAAGAAATAAGCGTAGGAATAATATTAATGCCTACACTCAGAATATAAGCCAAATTCTTCCACTTAAACGTAACAGATCCTCAGGACAATCAATGTACCATTTACTAAGCAAATTTTACCTTTTAATGTCAATTGTGTTCTGGGCCGTGTAGTCTGATGGACGTTTACCGATGATTCTTCGTGCCTTTGTTATGGACGACCTCACCTCTGAAACGTCGGTAATATTATACCAGACCATACGCCACAACAACCCGGAAGGCATTCACTTTTTAACCATGTACCAGTTGTTTTGTGGGTTGGACCGTCTTATGAGAACATTTATAAAATTCTGTTTGCTTCATGTAAATTTGTGTTTATATTCGACCAATATGAACTAACTCGTAGAGTTCTGCCTCCGTGCTACATGTCCTGCCTGATATAACTACCTTAATAATATTAAATACATTATAATGCTCCTTGTCATGTAATTTTCTCCGTTTTTTTTTTACTTACTCGCGTTTCGCCATGTTTCTCCTACACGTTGCCATCTTCACGAAGCCCACCCGCCATGAGAACCTTTGATCTTAAGCAACGTGAAAACAAAGTAGGACGCTGATGCCTTATAAAAAAACAATAAACCTCATTTCTCTGTTATTTCCTGTAATAAACTACAAGCCTGTAACTTTTGGAATCCGTATATTAAGTTTCGTAGCCCACGGTCTATAAGAATGTGTCTTTTGCTAGAGACACACTTCGTAGACGTATTTTTTGCAAGAAACTTCTAGAATATCTACTGTACGTAGCCCACGCAAGCTTCAAGCTAAGGGCAGATAGGTCTAAAGACTCTGCAGTATTTCCTTATTAAAATAGATGAACAAAATATTTAGGAAAGAGGCTAATTGGAAGACATAGGCATAGATGGAAGGATAATATAAAATGGATCTTAAGTTAATAGGGTGGGCACTGTAATTTTGTGTTTCAGCATAGGGACCTGGTTATGAACCTTCGAGTACCATACATTGGGTTGGGTAAATTCTTCCTTAGCTGGGCGACTGGTAGCTTCTCAAGAAGAATTTTGTTCCATACAGTTCATTGTTCAGTCCATATAGCCAAATAAAGAAAAAATGATGTCATGTTTGGGCCACTGATAACGTCTATTTACGTGAGTAAACAGGAAAACATTAAAACTTACGTGGATTAATCTACTCTTATGTTTTGATAGCAGAAGTGTGTTTTGAAATAATCCCGCTTGTTTTAAGCGTCGATAATCGATCTACATTGTGGCTTCAGTTGTCTTGCGGTGTCACCGGTAGATGGCAGGAAGAGTATGATCCTCAGCATTAATGATTAGTTCGTGCGTCGTTCGGCAGAGCTTGTGAAATGCAGTGTATTCCTTTCAGAAACGTTTCCTTTCAATTCAGGTCACATCGTATCCCAATATTGGTACAATCGAACAAAACAAAAATTCTTAAAACAGTATGCACAAATATTTAAATTCATTATGATCGTAACCTGACGTCATGTGAAGTTTATTTCAATTTTCATCCGCCATTTGGTGACACGAGTTTCTCTCAACACGGATCCTGCTACCGCTCTCTGGGTTGGGAGAAAGTTCGTTCTGGAGTCGGGATGGATTAGACTATCTGAAAGTACTCAGCGGAATTCTAGGAAGGGGTAATGACGTCAGTGTTGTTTGAATCGATGTGCGATTTGAAAGGTGAAATTTTGAATTTTGCAGGTGATCCTGTTGGGAATGTCAAATTATGACAACGAAAGGAAAGGTAGGAAGTTCTGTATTGTATTCTTAGAACTTTATTGTATTTACGTAAATACTGTAAATGGCAGTTTTAAACTCACATGCAGTGGTTATAAACTACATTCAGCAAGGTTGGAGCATATAAAAACGATGCTGCTTGTCCACAGTATCGGACATGAACATTATATGACAGTAAAATTAAATCTTTGATCACTTTTGAAGTGTGACAATCCTTTAGAAAGAATACTTCATTATATTTCATACACGTGCTACAGAAGTCCTGTGTGTGTGATCCAAGTATAAGACTATAGTGACAGAATCAAATAGAATTGAATAAATGGCCCCTTTATGTCTGACTGCACTTGATATGCATTTTATTTGCAGATCCTATTAGGGCTGGTTCACCTAGAAGTGGTAGAAAAGTTACAGAAGCTATGTGACATTTGCCTGGTGGGTGAGGGGGGTTGGCTGGAACACAGAACCCTACCACTTCTCTCCATGCAGAGCCAAGGTTTGCACTTGTTGTTTTGTTCACTACTGTACTTTGAATTTAGGTAAAATTATTTTCATGTGCTATTGTGATAACAGATTGACCCTCTGTTCCATTGCAGAAGTGTTGCTATTTTGTCCTCTGAAATGAATTCCAGTCACCTGCTTCTCATGTCTGTACATTAGGGCCAGAATTTTATAAATCTTGCAACAAGGAATCCATTTGCTTTCTGACATTAAAGGTTCCGCTATGAATTGTTGATGAATGTGATGCATAAAATAGGAAGTAAAATAGTTTTATAACCATTTTACTTAGCAAACTGCATGGTTGTTTTGTTTGAAATGTATTTCACTGAACTTTACCACTCTAATGTTGTCGTGAAGTTATATTCTTGTCAGATTTGTCCGACATTTAAATGAGAACTTGAAATGGGTGGTTGGGCACCATTTATTGGTGATATAATGATGGACAGAGCAGTAGTATATGGATTCAGGCCTGTTACCAGGCAGTCGGTGCATAGGGTTATCTTATGGATGCGGGATGCAGTCAGCGGAGTGGATTTTGTGATACTCTTGATGTTTAACAATTTCATGCCAGCCTCCACCAAAGCAAGATTTATTTACATTTGCATATAATGTCAGTATAAACTGATTTTAAACAAAGAAACTCCCATATAAGTGAATCTTATTAAGAGTAGTTCACTTCTGAACAGATTATTCCAACTGTATAGGTTAGGGTTGTCCTCTGCTTCATTCAGCACTGTGCTGTGGAATGTGCTCCCTGTAGAATCATTTGTTTTTGTAATTGTACCTTAGAGTGTGATTAATTTGCTGAATAAATGTTAGTATGAGGAATATTTAATTATTTTCATTTTATGAAGATAGTCAGTCTAGTAATAATACTGAACATATGATTGACTTATTGAATAATGTGGGCACAGTGTTGTGTAACTACCACTACACCACTGCCATTTAATCCCATTCATCTGGTTTGGCTGCAGGTTAAAAGGTATTATAACAGCGACATTGGTTGAAATTGGTTTGAAATGCAAGTTTATTCTATTACTGATCTTCTGGAACTGTATTATAAAATGTAGACACGATGATACTAGTGCAGTTTCTCAACTTTCAAGTAGCATCAGCAATGTGGGGAAATTCTGTTTGGAATACAGAGAAGGTGATGGTGATCTCTAAGGAAGAAAATTATTCAGATGACTGGCCGATTCCACTAGAACAAATATTGTTAGTATTAATCAGTAACTAAAGCTGGCTTGATTAGAAATTATGGCATCTGGTAAATGACACAGCTGGTGGCCATTGAGGTTTATGTCATGAGATGCTAATTTTATGACAAACGTGACACCATTTTGTCTCTTTTAAATGAGTGTTTTGCATGAAATTGTAAGAAATGCTTTATTTTTATATTTTTTCTGTGATCGTGGTGGACAGAAAAAAATCAATTTTAATGTGACATTTGAAGATCCAGAATGATAACTCGTCTTTCTGTGTCTGCCTCTTGTTTTCTGTCATTTTTTGCTTTCAGTGTATTATTGAATATATTTGAGATTTAAATCTATCATGTACTATGTAGTCTGAATTTCTTGTTTGCACCTGAAGAAACATCACATTTATCGAGCCATTTTGTGTTACAAAGTGCAGTCTGTTTAGAAAGCAGCACATGATATCAGTAGAACGACACTTCAGTTGAATTAAAGGGTGCCCTATGTGAATATCTGTCGGGATACCAGCTATCCTAACTTGGGTATGGTTTCCTCAAGTCCCTCGAGCCAAATTTTGATATTGTATCCAAAGAAGAAAAGGCCACATCGCTACCAGCCATGATCATTTCAAAACATTTTTCAATCTTTTTAGGATGGTGTGTAAATTATTTAACGGGCATTGCATTATTACAGTATTTAAGAAAATGTGTAACATGTGTCATGTACGACAGTAGAATAATTTTATGAGCTGAAATGTTTGAACACTTTTTAATGTTGCTGACCAAAATTGATTTGCCGCATCCAACGTAACCAGAATTTTAACCACTTTCCTAATATCGGCAAGTTAATACCAGCTGACGTATTCCCGAGATACACTAAGTGAATATACATTAATGTTAACACGTTTGTGTTAATGCTTGTGGGTAGTGTACCATTAATTTGTTGACTGTATCAAAGGAACGAACAGCGAGTTATGAATATATTGTGGATCTGTATGTTTGTTGTGGTGAATGATAAGTAAACATTGTATACAGGAGTGATCATTTGATTGAAAGAGATATAATGTAATTCCTTCATGATTCTTGAAAAATTAATATTCTAGATGAAAAGAGTTTTGTGTTTTAAAACTATTTTATCATGTTTATTGGTTATAGCATCTTCATATGCAGGTTTTATAGTGGGAAGAATGTTATTAGAATTGAAATTTAAGAGAAAGAGATGGTTCTGACGACCTAGAAGAAGATGTTTCAGCCAATTATTGTAATTGTGAAGAGACGGAAGATTGGAGAGTTTTGTCCAAACGTGTTTATAAAATGGAAAGAAATATTGAAGAAGACTTAAGTTTACAACGTAATCAATAGATGGCATAGGTAGTTACGGTTATAGTGTGGTAGAGGAGCATGTGACGTTTTTATGATTATCGATATGAAACGAATTTCCGGTATCGTTGATCGATTATGATTTGAAAATTCAGTGACGTTTGTTTGCAAAACAGTGCGAGTTTGGTGCCAAAGTTCGGGTGTTTGAAGTGTTAATTTAAAATAATTTCAGCGGTAGGTGACGATGCAGATCGAATTAATCTTTAAATTTAAACATGGATTTTGTATTCGGATTAAACAAATAATAAATTATAGTCGCATACGTATTTATCTGTAGTGTGCTGCCCACGTGACACGTTTTCTGAATCTAGTGCTTTTACCATCCGTGAATTACATAAGCCTGATATTGAAATATAAAACTAGAAAATACTGTGATTAGGTTAATTTGTAGCAATGTAAGTTTTGTCTTACCGTTTCTGAAAATCGTCACATAACCTAACATTCTTTAATACATAAACAGAGCAGCCATGTTGTCATAGATTAAGACTGCATATGTCGAATCACAGTGCGATACAGCTAGTCCTTGCTATGATGATTTGCTGGAGGTTATACTGTTTAACGTCGAATTAAAGGAGACAATTATGTTTATTCGTTTAAGCAATGGCGCTGACTTAAATGATTAGGTTATGTACCATCGAAAGAGAAATCACTGCAATGTGATTACTAGGTAAAGGCTGTGGGTGTTATAGTTAGTAGCTAATTCAAACTACTGAATTTAAATGCTAGTACAGAGGAAACCTGATTAGTTGTAGATGGTTATTGAATGTAAATCGATTTCTGTAACGCGGTTGTCGGTGTTGAGGATTGTACATGGTACGATTAATTTATGAAAGTGGCCCTGCACTATTTCAAAGTAATATCAAAAGCTAAGGAAAAAAACCATGACAATCTTAAAATATCCTGTGTTCCTATGTAATCTCGTTCTGGATAAGTTTGCCATGCTAATTTAAGTAAAACGCGTTACTGCTGAAACAACGTGTGTTGTGTTTTTCGAACGAGTCGAGTGTTTAGTTAACGGACGCTGTGAGTGGTGAATCATTCCAGTCTGATTAGCTGAATATGTGACACAATGGAAGGCTAGTCAAATGTTTTTTTTATATTGTTTGGTGAACCTGACATTTGTTTTGATGCATGCACTTTAATGCTTTGTTGTATTGGGAATGAATGAATTGTGACATTGGAAAGTAACCTTCTTATCAAATGAATAGAATTTGTGCACGTCCTATAGATCATTCTTTGGGCTAAACCAAGGATTTAGAACACGTCATAACGGGAGTGCAGAATTTCACATGTAGATTTACAAAAAGCTTGAGAATTTTCAAGTCATAAAATTATCACCTATTGTCTATGGTTGATTAGTACTTAACTTGCTATAGTTGGTTTGCACCTAACCATATAATAAATAAACCTGCGTAATTAATACCGACTTTATCCATATATAACTGTATTTATTCGAAATTTGTCCAAATTTTTCCACCACAAATGATAGTAAGGAGAGCATTAATTCGCTTGGAAGTGGAAGTGTAGCAAATTTCCGAAATAATTTCCTACAAGACACTCTGCTTTTGATACCTGGCATTATTATAATTCTTTTGTTTGGATGTTATGACCGCATTACACATAATCATCTGTGCATGCGTAATGACGTCATGGACCTCAAGACCTTAATCTGCTTTGGTGAGGTCATTTTTAGTTAACGTTGAAAGGGTGTTTTCGTCGAATGCGCGTTGAAATTTATGTGTACTCCAAGGAGTGTTTTAATTCTTGTTATGTTTGGATGTGAGGGCTGTACTAAACTGTACTTTCAGTACCTGAGAAGGTCGCATGTGACCTTCGTCCTGCGAAGAAGTTTAAATTTTTGTGCCTACGTATCGGGAAAATGAGTTCGAAGCTCAGTTATTTGGTTTCTCTCAAGTAACAGCGAATTTTTGCATAGGATTCAGTGCAAAAAAATTTGTTGCATCTTCATCAACAATTTACGACGTATGATTTCGGACTGACCCCGCGTTCACTTGAGCCCTCCTTGGTTTGAAGGATGTATTTTTCTGACTGCCAGTATAATTCCTACCACCCTTAGCTGTACATCGGATGGACCTGTCTGGGAACTGTTATCCATCACATATGAAGTTTCGGCTTCGTCACTTTTGCTTGCTTGTTTGTTTTAATACCCTTGACACCGATATATATTTTATTTAAATTATAGCCTGCTGTAATAAGGTAACAAGTTTTGAGAACGTGATCCATCATATCGCGCTGATGGGTTGAAATTCTTTCTGCGGTCATCCACCACGTGCGGTTCTGGGGTTTGAAGTGGAGCCATTTGCGGAGGGGCGACTGTCTTGACGCTGGCAGTGGAAGGGCAGGGGGGGATACTTTGGCAACATTACTGAGATGATGGAGTGGGAAGGACGAGGGGAAGTGTATTAAAATAGGAAGACAGGAGAAAAGTAGATGGATTGTGAAGGGGGGGGTAAGGAACAGTGGGTCTTGGAAGAGAGAGGGGTTGGAGTCAGCGTAAAGGAGCAATGCATAGAAGAAGTTCTTGGAATAAGCTGTGCGCTTTTTTAGACCTCATACCGTACGGCCAAGTGGAAAAGAAAACAGAAAGCTACGTGTGACATGTAGAACGCAGACAAAGGTCCGGTGAGATGAATGTTAACCGGCTGAGGATTTGTGTGTGTGTTTTCGAGTGAAATTGTGCGGAATTCGAAAGAGAGAGAAAATAAAAATAAACGTCCGTTTTTCAGGATTAACTTTGAATTATGTAACTTTGTCAAGCGATCATATATTTTTTGAGGGGGATCTTGTTGTAAGGTGGGGGTGCGAACGAAAGATAAAGGATGAGAATCAGAAACTACGTCATACAGTTACGTCACATACACGTGTGATGACGTAAACGTTTTGAAGGTGATTGATAGAAGTGGACCAAAATAAAGCACGAATAATTTTTACGTTTCGAACGGTGTGTCTTTTCCGATGCGCGACCTGTTTTCAGCTACTGAGCTACTCAGAAATGAGGTACACAAAATGTCTTAACGGAGTTTAAGTACGTTACGTTGAGCCAGGTGTTTGGGATGACCATGGTTTAAATCGCTGAACGTGCGATCTGCTGACAGCGAGTATGGACTGCTTTAAAATTGAATTGTGTGTTGTTTTAACGTGGAGTGCTGTTCGTTCAGGGTGCGCGAATATTAAACACGACGAAATTCGGCGAAGAGAAGTGCAGATGAACGGCTGGTAGACTAAGACGAAGGGGCTGTAATGAGGATTTAGTGGGCAGGTTGGCAGAGACTTTGCAACAGATGTTGGACGACCCTGAGGAAGTGGCGCCCAGTAGGTGCAGTACGTTCCTGCATTACACGTGGAAGATATTCACGTGTATCTTCTCGCACGTAATTCTTGTCTCGCTTGTCGTGTCCTATTGCATCATGGGAGCCTTTACGTTTCAGAGTCTGGAGAAAAATAACGAAATCAAGGTAAGGTTAGGTTGTCTAGTTTCTTCCTGCTTTATAGTTCTGTGGTTACTAGCGTCAAAGCGGCCGGAGCCCGCTGAAACAGAACATTCACCACCGTCTACAATCGACATTGAGACTGCGTGTTCATCGTGCTGTTTACTGTAATGTTCCTCCTGAAGAGGTCATGTTGTGTGTTGAAACCTATGTGGCGTGCCAATACAGGATTATCGGATACGCGATTTGAGGTAACGGCTGTAACGCTGTGGAAGTTGGTCATCTGGGTTGTAACTCCTTGTAGGTAGATACCAACGTTTCGGAGGTGCATACTACCTCAATCTTCAGGGATGAAAGGGAATAACAGAATTTGACTTGTCGGTGAATTCTCATCCATCCTCTTCTGTAGCTGTTTGCTCCACTGCAAATCCAGGTGCGGCAACATGCTGAAAAATTAGCTCCATGCAGCACTATTCGACTTGAGAAACTGATAGTCGCTCAGCTTGTCAACATATTTCCCGTATTTAGTGGAGCGCGAAGGTTCATCACCGTGCTCACAACAGCCCCTGTCTTGAGCCAGATGAATCCACTTCAAACCATCTCCGTATCGTACATTTTACATAGTTCAGTGACACCGAGCCGGTTAGCTCAAGCCGCGGCGGTGCTAACTTGTGGGACGTTTCAGCTGGAGTCCCAGCGAGGGTCAGATCACCTTCACTGAGGGTTGTCGTGGTTATCCTCAGTATGCAGGGATGACAAGGGATAGCACCTCCAAAGAAATCTACGTGATTCCTCCATAGCCTTTTAGGGTTTATCGCAACCAGTTGATTCATCGTCGTGTTCCGTTATTGCAGGTGAAGCGTAATATCAGCAGAATACGATTGAATGTGACGGAGGATCTGTGGCACCTTTTTCAAGCGACCGATGTGCTGATAGAAGGCAACTGGACGGCCATGGTCAGTGACCGGCTGAAGGCGTTCGAACAGGATCTGCTGAGGTCCATGAGGTCAGACGGCTGGGATGGAGCAGAGGAGGAGGAAGCCGTTCAGTGGTCATTTGCTGGAGCTCTTTTCTACTCCATCATCGTAATCACCACCATCGGTAAGCAAGGAGAATTGCGTTATGTACAATCGCAGTTTCATTTTCTTCCACGACCTCAGGGCGTGTCACGTCTTATGTTATCAGTTTACCCTTATAACCCGAGGCTAGTCTAAATGTTTAAGAACTCAGTCCGTACCGCGAAGAAAACACAACTCTTCACCATTACCAAGATTAACTGGTTGACACTGATTAAAGAAATAATCGCTGTTTATTACGAGAATCATATACGAAATCCACAAATACACTCTGTGGGCAAAACGTGAAGTTATTTATTGTTAAAGCGGGTGGTATGTATAGTTACCACTAGGATATAAAGTAATACAGATTATATTTACAGTTTCTTGCCGTTTTTCTTCGCCTCAATGTTTGCACTTCGTTCGTACGGATCGTATGGGGGCCTTGGGAAGCGCTGGTCGTTGATTGTCCCGTATCCAAGATACGGTTTTCCGTTCGGTCCGTAATCTTCGTCGAAGTCTTCTCTTCCCAGGGGTCTGTAAGGTCCTCCGGGAGGCTTAAAGGGACGACCGCCATCAGTGACTATTCCTGTCGGACCACCAGGACCGATCAGTATGGGACGCTCATACGTTGGTCTGACCGAAGTATCGACGAGACCCGGGCCCCTGTTTGCGGGTGGCCTCCCGTTGAAATTTGGCTTCGTGTTGTAGCAGCAGTACTGCTTCTCGGTGTCGCAGTGCCCCTGAAATTTGAAATGGCATGGCTGTGTTAAAAGTCTGCGATACAGAAACGTTTAAATTAAATAGGTTGCTGATGGAAATAATATGACTGAAGTGACAGGGGACTGGAGAAAACTACGCACTGGAGAACTTCGTAATTTACAATGTTCAGCAAGTATTATTACGATGATCAGATCAAGGAGGATGAGATGGGCGGGGCATGTAGCACACATGGGGATATAATGCGTAATAGGTTTTGGTTTTAAATCTTGAAGAGAAGATGCCACCCGGAAGACACGGACGTAGATGGGAGGATAATATTTAAATCGATTTAGTAGAAATTTGGCGTGGATTGGATTTTTCTGTCTCAGGATATGGACCGGTGGTGGGCTTTTGTGAACACGGCAATGAACCAGTGTTACCACCCCTGTTTGTTTGTCTCAGTGAGAGACTACAAGGTGAACTGCGTAGCCCAACGAAATTACCCACTTTCTCGTCGTTCTATGGCACCTAGTTTGTCTTAGAACCAAGTATTCTCGTGCACAGGAACGGAACTTACGAACTTAATTCCTGGAGACGCGCAGTTGAATGCATATGCGCATTTGCAATGTTCGTAATCCTTGTAGGCGAACTTGTCACCCGGACGTTGCTCCCATGACGGAACGGGCCCAGTTAATATCCCTGAACCTCCAGGTCGTGGACCGTCTGGGCCATTTAATATCCCTGGACCTCCAGGACGAGTGACGTCAATCGGGCGGTAGGTGTTCGGTGGTCTGGGTATGGGTCGGGAAGGTTGTAAGAACGGCGGAGGGTTGTTGAAATCACTGGTTTCGAACACCGGAGCTGGCGGCCTGGAACATCAGAAATGGTAGCTATAAGTGCCAATATTGATTAAATCTATGTTGAAACTGATTTAGGCCTATATATGCAGCGAGGATGTTTGGCGACTGTGCCGTCGGCACATTCCTTCGGATATGCGCGACTGCTCTGTCGGTTGCCGCATCTCTTGGTCGTGGTTCGCTGTTTAAGGAGAATCGATGGTTATTCTGTGAATCTCACATAAAATGCAATGTGTAGGAAAAAATTAGATATGCTTTATGTTAAAGCAGGTGGTAGCTCAGGGTTTAAGTAAAGTACTTAATGACTTTTGGGGTGTCGTGGTTTTTCACTGACGCCTAGTATTTGTCAGGTCGTCCGTCAGACGCGGACCAGCAGCTTCTCGTCTTTTTCCCCCCAATCCCCACAGCGGGTCAGTCAGTACCTTAAAATAAGTGACCGTCCCTGTCTTCAGAGTTCTAATATTTATTCCCTACCTGTACGGGGGTCGACCCACCTCGCCCCGGGTGTACGTCGGCGCCTCACCGGCGGAGATGCTCCTGGCGTTGCCCGACCATACCCACTTGTTCTCAGCCTGGCCGCTCGCCGTAGATGCCAGCAACATGGCGCCCAGCGCCATCTGGCGCCACAATACCCTGGCCACTGCAGAAAAAAAAACACTTTCATGACTCTTGCTTAGAAGATCTGAGATTATTTTGGGGATATTTGTGAGTGCTGGTCTTCTGGGTTGTGGACTTGTAGGTAGACGCCGACGTTTCGGAAGAACGTATTTCTTGCATCTTGAGCCCTGGTTATGGAGGCTTTATTTTTCCATAGTCGTGCTTGAACAAGGAAGAAATATGTTTCCTTCTGGGTTGTGGACTTATAGGTAGACGCCGACGTTTCGGAAGAACGTATTTCTTGCATCTTGAGCCCTGGTTATGGAGCATCTCATTTTAGATCCACGCGGGGTTGCAACCCAGAAGATCGGCAGGCAGTTTTTCCAAACCTCATTCACTCCGTCTTGTGGCAGCCGTGGTCCTTACTTCAAAGCTCACAGGAAGTAAAATTGCTTCTTGCTTCCTTAATTCCGTTCGTAATTTGCATTTCGTCAAGGGAACAATTCGCATTTTTTTGTCTGCGTGCGTGGGGAAACAATACACAATCAAACCAGCAAGAGGATGAGAGCGACGTAATTCTCATTTAAATCAACTTTTATTTATGACGAATCCTTGAATTTCTAACAGCGCGTTTATGAGGTTCTTTCCTGTCAGTCCGGGGGGGGGGATTCCGCATTATTAAGCGCTTTTATAACAATTTAATGAAATGAACGCAGAATGCGCGGGTGATATCAACCAGTTCGTCTGTCTCTCTTCATGTTTCACGTGGGAAATTACATATTCGATTTTGGTTAAATTTTGTTTTGGGTTGGTACTTAGCTTTTTTACCTCCTAGAGTCTTATCGTCGTCCAGATAACAAATTTCCCGCCTTTTGTAGAACCCGATGGCTTATTGCCTTTTTCAAAATCCTCCACTGCTCCTGTACTGAACCAGTTTAATCCAATCCACTTCATCCTAATTTGTTTCCCGAAGATTTAACTTAATATTATCCTCCGACCTACGCGTTAGACTTCCCGACCAAGAATTTGTTCACGTGTATGGTCCCATGCGTGCTACATACTCCACCCATCACTTTGATAATTCTTGTAATATTCGGTGGGAAATTCATGTGATGGAGCGCCTCATCGTGGGATTTTCTTCAAATGCCTTTTTATATCTGACGGGGGAAGTCAGTCCTGAAGTACATGAACCAAGCAACCCCCGAATTTAATCAATTCGCAATTCTTCCTTAACGCAGTTCCCATTTGTTACCGCCGTTTGCCACGTTTTCGAAGGGGTTATCATCTACCTTAATAAGATAGTATAATTGCGTCATATTGTGAATCAAATATTTAATTAATTATTCGGTTTTTGTCCGTCTAATCACAATTATATTTAAAATTTACAAATAAGATAATTAAAATATCATTTTATGTTCCACATCGAATAATCGATTTACATTTGGAACATTTTTACAACATGTTTCGGTTTCATCGAACCATCTTCAGGTGTAAAATTATATCAACAAACGTAAAACTCAATTACAATTTCTGTTGTGTAGCTTTTTGGTGATGTTTTCTGGTGATGTTTATGTTCATAATATAATTCTGTCCGGTGACGAAACATTTACATACTATTATACGTTCTTTGTGTTTACTTCTAAATCATCGTACTTACTAGCAGCCGAGGGCCTCTGACCGCATTCTGCATTGTCTTGTTAGACGTGACAGTGGGTGTCTACCTAAAAATTGTAAAGTAGGGAAATAGGTTAAGGTAGCAGCTGCCCAAAGGGTCTTGTCGACATTATGATATGTATTAACATAGTCCGACCCACGCGAATTTGCTCCTTAAGGCAAGACAACGCACGGACTAGTTTCACACGACGTCAAGGGTATATGTGGGAGTTTTATGTAAGATCGTGCACGTCGTATTTCGTTTATTATTATGTAATCTACATTTACGTAAGCTGCGACCCAAATCGATATTATTTGACATCGATTTGTTTTGGTCTCATGTGCCGAAATTAATAGATTCGCGGAATAATTATTCTTGTTCTACAATAAAGTAACCTCACACAATCGAAATAAAATCCCACTGGCTTTGGAGCGGGAATCACCATGTGTTTCGCAATCATCATCGGGTAATTAAATCATTATGCGTATTATAACATTCTCGCTCTGACACATGCCCGCGGGCACACGGTTGGCGATCCATTGGATGTACCTTCTAGTCCTCTGTACGTCCAACAGATGTCACAAAAACCACGTTATCAACTTCGCCGTGTCTTCCAGCACGCGGCTATAAAGTGGGGTTACGCCTTTGTTTTGTGCCTCTAGACAACCTGCCGATCACGTTTAACTCGGCAGCGTTAACAGCTGTAACACTAAAAATTAAAAAAATTTGGGTGGTAACTGTTGTTATCAACAAGTGTGTTGTGTTTCGCTATCGATACACCGGAACCAAACAGGTTTACCCCAAATTTCATCCTTGGGAAACTGACCGATTCAAGAAATTCCTGTTCTTTTATGAAACCCAAGCTTCAACTCTCTATTTTGTATTTATGTGTCTCGTACGATTCTCAGTATAAAGAGCGATTATTTGCTTAAACAGCTTTAACCAGTTGATCTTCGTAATGGTGAAGAGTTGTGTTTTCTTCACGGTACGGACTGAGTTCTTAAATATTAATCAGATTATTCTCATCGTAACCAGCGATTATTTCTTAAACAGCGTTAACCAGTTGATCTTCGTAATGGTGAAGAGTTGTGTTTTCTTCGCGGTACGGACTGAATTCTTAAATAATATTTAGACGATCTTCGACTAAATGCCTTGACCTTATTAAACCTGTGTCAACAAGAAGGACGAGCGGGCACTGCCTGGGAATCTTCGTAGCCTCAAATCAAATTTACCCCCCCCCCCGGCCACTTTCTCTTCGGCTTCAAAGGATTAATTATCAAATGAAAAATGACGTCACTGCCTCAACAAAATCTCTCACCGTCTTTGTCCGTCATCCCGTGGTTTTTGAGCGTAACTGATGGTCCTCCCTCTGGCTGTGTTCTCGAGCTCCACACAATTCGGCTCCGTGTTCACTGTCCTCACATACGTAACATACTTCTGTTAAGGGCGAAAGTGTTTGTGTTTTTATGCTGTGCAATGCTCCAGAGGCGAGTCGTTCGGAGGGGCGGTGTAAGATGTATGTATCATGTAATGCCGCGTGTCTGTGTGGGATTACTGCCAGCCCCCCTCTCCCCCCACCTTCCGACCTTATTGGTCAGTTTACTGGCTTCGCATCGACAACCCTGACCTCAATATCCCTTGCTGAGGTCTGAGGTACTGATTCTCGTTCTTTGTTAAATGACGCACTTGGTGATTCCAAAACTGTGGTTCCCTTGGGGGTGTCCAGGGGCTGTGTTCCGATTTGAGTATCTCACGGCGACGAGAATGCAGATGGCTGTCTTCTGGGATGTTGCCCCGTGTAGTCTGGTGGAAGTTGAGTGACGTTTCGGACGTGCTTACTGCCTCCATCATTAGGGCGATATCCAGAACGGCTCCAGACCTTGCTCAGCCACTTACCCAGCGGGCACTGCCGTCTATTTTCATCGGGGTAGCGTGGAGATCATCATAGTCCTTCCCTCATGGTTTTTAATCTAAAAATGCGTACCAATAGGTTGTCTTGTTTGCCTAATGTGCTAAAGATGCCCTGCCCATGGAAGTCCTTTGTGATCCACTCACCCTAACAGCATTAAGAAACAAGACGGAAGTTGAAATTGGTTATTTTCGTATTTTTCCCTTTTTTCCCTTTTTTATCTGTTATGAGAGGTAACCGTGAATTACTTAATGGATATTAATAACTATGCATTTCGAGACGTATCTTATGAGAATCTGTGCTTTTGTGGGAGATAAGAAAATCCTCTTTTATATCCAAAACTTTGGATGGGTGATCAATTTAAGACTGTGAATACCATTACAGTTGATTTTCATATCATAAATGGAAATGCCATTTAGGGCAAACATGCCCAAGTGCGTTAAAACGGTGGTCAGTAACGACGCAAATAACAAAATAATTGCGGAAGTAGAAATAACCCCATAACCCGCAATTAGAGACCCATTGTTTGCATCACAGATGCACACAATGGCCGCTGAAACAGGCGAGCGTACTGTGGTGGAGCAAGGCGTCACCCGGAATGAAATCATCAATATTCAGGATTTTAATTTTCTTTTATTTCTGAGGAGGGGAATGCAAAATAACATTTATAACACATTTATAATTGTTACATTATTTATTTCTGAGGTACTCGAAAAGGGCAGGGCAGAAAACATGAAGGGAGTGGACCATTTGTGATAATATTAAAATGGATCTGGAACGGTAATGACACCTTGTGTTTAATAGTGAACGTGTCATTTATTAACTAGGTGGGTGAATATCAGCGTTTCAAAAGGGTATCAGTTCAATGGGACGAATGAAGTTATAGACAAATTCATTTTCATTTAACGAATTTTTGCCCTAATGCCTAATACAAGGAATTAGTGTGTTATGTTCAGTTATTTAGGGTATCAAGTGTGATTTATCTTGATATCAGGCAGGTCTCATACGTAATATGCAACATTTCAACCTCAAAATTTAATTTAATCGAAATCCATTAGTATATAGAAGTGATTAGTTAGTTAACTAGCTGGTTAGATCAGTGAATTAGGAAATATGACAACTTCTACAGAGCAAATTTTTCTGCACAAGTGGGTCCACGTCCTCATGCCCTTTAAAGCCCAGTGGTAACTGTACGTTCATCTGCTTCAATAAATCAATCAATCAATCTATCAACCAACCAAGCAATCGACAATCAATTAATCAGTGACTCTTAATTCTGTATCTATGGGTCTTGCATTATTATTCTCGGTTTAAACAGCGATTATTTCCTTAAACAGCGTTAACCAGTCGATCCTTGTAATGGTGAAGAGTTGTGTTTTCTTCGCGGTATGGACTGGATTTTGAAATATTATTTAGACGATCTTCGTCTTTAAAGGATATTGGTTAACATCTGCTTGGTCAGATCGATCTTCGTAATGGTGAAGAGTTGTGTTTTCTTCGCGGTATGGACTGGATTTTGAAATATTATTTAGACGATCTTCGTCTTTAAAGGATATTGGTTAACATCTGCTTGGTCAGATCGATCTTCGTAATGGTGAAGAGTTGTGTTTTCTTCGCGGTATGGACTGGATTTTGAAATATTATTTAGACGATCTTCGTCTTTAAAGGATATTGGTTAACATCTGCTTGGTCAGATCGATCTTCGTAATGGTGAAGAGTTGTGTTTTCTTCGCGGTATGGACTGGATTTTGAAATATTATTTAGACGATCTTCGTCTTTAAAGGATATTGGTTAACATCTGCTTGGTCAGATCGCGTGAAGCACATAGGATACAAGGCAACCCGCTTGATTGCATAACACTGTACAACACACGGATTCTCCCATCGACCACCATTCTTAAGCAACTGGGGAATCCCGTCTATATAATGCCAGTCACTGTATTCAACCCAGTGGCTTAATGCATCCTTGTGCAGCAGTGAAAGTCAGTTGGCAGGACATTGGGTCTGCTGTGTTCTTTAATGTATTTGGTACACAAGACAAACACAATGCTTCCTTCAAGGACACACTTCAAGCCTTTGGGTTTTAACGTCCCGTGAATTTGTAGGCAGGTGACAACCTTTCGGATGAACATACTGTCTCCATCTTCAGTGCTGAAGATAGGCCAATTTTCCAGAACTGTGTCGGGGACCACAGATGTAAGCATCGTATAGTTCTGCATTTACTTTTAGACACCCAGTACAAAACTTGGCAGTAGGCGGTAAGTTCCTCTGAAACGTCGGTCAGTTTCTACCAGTCTGCATCCCAGAAGACACCTGAAATATCACTTCAGTCCATTTCAGACCTTGCATCCTCTCACTTTTTTCAGGATAAAGTTTATCCTCGCATCTACGTCTAGGTCTTACGAGTGGTCTCTTCAATTCGGATTTTCGGACCAAATTGTTGTGTGAGTTTACTATTTTCCCATGCATGCTACACACCCCGCCCATCGCATCCAACTCGATTTGATGCACCTCCTCAGTCTCCGTGGTACTTCGTTCATGAGCACCTGGAGGAAACGATGTATCAGTCTTTTGTTCTGTAGAAACCAGTTTGTTGTATTATTTACTGCTAGTTCTGGAGGCCGCAGCCGTACATGTAATTATGAATGATCCCTGGTCAATGTTGGTACAAACAACAGACACCGTCAGGGTCGACGGAAGTCCTGACAAGGTCGACGTCTACATGTCCGAATTCATTACAGCTCCTGAGAACATACGAAATGGAAATCATTAGAGTAGACGGTACAGCGGTAGCTGCTTAGTCAGTCCTACCACCTTCGAAACAAGAACATAAGTTCGGATTTTGATCGTACGGGTTGCGACGCCTTGTACTCTTGCAGGTGGTTACCGACGTTTCAGACTAACGTATCAAAATTTTCACGAAATAATCGTGCTGTTGTTAGACGTGCTTTATTTGTATACTTAATCACCCTGCCTTTAAATTCTGTAAAGGTTTGTGACAATGGGTGATTCGTTATAGGAATGGTGTGTTGGACACTGTCCACAGTCAGATTATACGGTGATTCGGGAGTTAACTCTACTCCCGTCTTTAGATTGTCGTGATACTGACACTGTATTATTATTATTATTATTATCATCATCATCATCATCATTGTTATTTTTAGCGGTCGGTATCGAAATGTTTCGGGTTGGATCCCTGCCTTTCTTACCAATAAGCATTCGCGTTGGTTTTGATATAGGCCTTATACAGTAAATTCAGCTGAATGCCTTGCATCTGTAGCCGGCAAGGTGATACATGTAACACCAAAGTTGACGCTCATCTAAATAGCATTTAAGAATTCAGTCCGTACCGCGAAGAAAACACAACTCCTCACCGTTACAAAGATCAACTGGTTAACGCTGTTTAACGAAATAATCGCTGTTTATTCTGAGAATCACAGTTCGTCTGAATAATGTTTAATAATTCAGTCCGTACCGCGAAGAAAACACAATTCTTCACCATTACAAAGAACAGCTGGTTAACACTGTTTAAGGAAATAATCGCTGTTTATTCTGAGAATCACAGTTCGTCTGAATAATGTTTAATAATTCAGTCCGTACCGCGAAGAAAACACAATTCTTCACCATTACAAAGAACAGCTGGTTAACACTGTTTAAGGAAATAATCGCTGTTTATTCTGAGAATCACAGTTCGTCTGAATAATGTTTAATAATTCAGTCCGTACCGCGAAGAAAACACAATTCTTCACCATTACAAAGAACAGCTGGTTAACGCTGTTTAAGGAAATAATCGCTGTTTACACTGAGAATCATACAAAATGAAGAGACGATGCTAAGTTCTGCGTGTTTTGTCTACGAAACCTTGTTCTGTTAGCGGAAGCCTTGTCAGATCCAGTGGTCAGGCCGGCGGAAAGCTGTAATCAATCCGTCTCACTGACTGAACGTCTGCGAACTTCGTGTTTCGCTTTATCTTTTTTGACCCTCTCATTGACATGTCCGGTGACGCAGGTCGCAGAATCTGTGTCAAGGCCGACTTTGTTCTGTTTTGTTTTAAATTTCAAAATACGTGGCATCATGACTCAACCCGTGTACAGGAAAAGGTCGAATAAAATAAAGGTTTGTTTTCTGTCTATTTTGCGAAAACAGATTACACAAATCACATTCTATGGTAAGTTTTCATGTTTGGGCGTTACCAAGGTTGCAGAGGGAACCTTCGAAGTGGCTGATGCCTACCAAAAGCCCGTTTTAAATTAATGGGGGGGGGGGGAGGAAATCTTCGTTTTGTTGCCTTGCCCTCTCGTCCTTTCGTTTAACCCCTTCCTTCGCTTCTTTTCCGTCTTAGAATAACGATGAGAAATATCAGCTGTGAAGCACTTGTAAAAGCTTCATAATGGTAGCAGCACATTTTGCTGTCTAGCGTGATTACCAACAACGTTTAGAATCTTTGCTAGCGCAAACAATGTCTGAGACCATCGACGTTAGTTCAGATTTTGGGCTAGATATTGAAACATATTCAGCACGTGTTCCGAGTACCAACCTCTGCACAAAAAAATGTGCGTTGAAATAGAGGCACAAGTGGCAACTCGGGGAAAGAAATCACAGACCTTTCTCTGTGTAGTAGAAAGAAAGGACGAAACGGGAGATGAACGCACACATATTAGGCCTTAACTGAACGGAAGATTTGAAGCTTCGACGGCAAAACTCAATATAAAGAAATTGCCTCATACGATGTCAGCATGTCATTCCATGTTGGCACGCCTGATCGCCCTAACCAAACGTTTCCTTCTCGTTTTTGGGTGAAACTGACGTTTATTAAACTAATATCCCGCTCCTTAACGCATTCTGCTTTGCGATTGGTACGGCATTGCTGTTAAAATTAAGTTATGAGGGAACAGAAGAACGGGTCATGTGTACTGCGGGTTGGAAACCAGCCAGACGCAAAGGAAAGATAACTCATCAGACGAGAAGAAGCTTTTGAAAAGGATAAACATGGCAAACGGTGATAATTTGACTGTAAGAAGAATAAAAATATAAGCCGGGAACAGTTGAGAGTCAACGCGCGATCTGAGGACCTCCTTCTATCTGTGTTACGTGAAATACACTTTCATGATTTCGGAAGATCGCGTGAGAACAGAGATAGATTATTGGCTGTGAAGGTTCCCAGGCACTGCCAGTTTGTCCGTCTTACTGCGTGCATGCACAATTTTTAATTTTGATATTGGCTTTGGAAGGGCTGCGTTTAGTAAACGTTTTGATGATGATAATTTTGATGTTGGCACTGGGAGGAATGCATGTGCAATGTAGAATTTGGGTACCAACTCAGCATTTGTTCCGGGGCCGAGGAAAACCGCGGAAAACCTTGATCGTGTTGGCCGGTCGCAGGACCTTCCGGTTGCTTTCCGACTTCTAACCGGAAGTCCGGGGTTTAAATATGCGAGACCCTGACTGTAATCCCTGACCGTGCTTTTACTTTATTTTGAAACTGTTTATATAGTTTTGATTTACTGAGATTTACTACTCGCGTATATGCTTTGGGTGAGAAACAAACAGTTCGTGTTTGTTTGCGCTGTATTTAAATGGAAGCGGACCTCTCAGAAAACGTTTACTACGTATTTTCCATTGTTTTTATTCTGTAACGAAATTTTTTGAAGGGAAGGAGCCGAATTTACGAAATGGATAAAAGTAGTAGAAGAAGAAGAAGAATTGAGACATAAAAGAAATCATTCCTGTGTTTTAAGAGTTCGTGTAGATAACATCTGTTAGCGCTGTGTGTGTCTGCCTGTCCGTCCCTTGATTAAATTGTAGACTAGAAATGCGTCTTTGGTACTGTGTAAAAAGGCCTTAAGTCAACACAGACCGCGTTTTGCATATGCCCTGCGTACTGAGCGTCAAATATTTATTGTAGAATCTTAAGATTTTGTGTGTTGATGTGTAGTGTGATGGATCTTGGCTTACACGCTGTTGGGACCTCCTACTGGCCCCCGAGTCACTGGACTGAGTAACTCTTATTTTGTTTTCCAACAAGTTGCCCTGGCAACTTGCCTCGGCTCCACATGACGCCAGCCGTCAGCATGTGGAACAGACCGATCGTTTGTTTTACCTGGAAGAGGTTCCCCGAGAACTGTAACTTAATATATCACATTATTAGTCTGAAGCATGGTCTGACGTCATGGCCGTGTTTTGAATTGTCTCGCTGTGTTACACGTATTCCTTTCATGTCCAATGGAGTTCAGGTTTTTGGGAAGTTTCGTTGTCTGTTCTGTTTATTTGCGTCAAATATTCTTCGTTGTTGTTGTTGTTATCTGCACTTCCATTTCACGAAATATTCAGTAATTTAAGTTTATCTTTTCTTATTTTTATTGTCAAAAACATTACTTAAACTTTCTCTAAACTTTTCCATCCTCCTGTTTATTTGTTCCTGTTTTGCTCAGATTCTATCCTCAGCACCCCGTTTTTCAAAAACCCACGATGTGTGTCTTTCCCTTGACTATAAAGACCAAGTTCCACACCCATACATTGCTGCAGGCAAAATTATGGTTTTGTTTATTTTAATCTTCACGTCGAAGGCATGGGCGGATAATATTAAAACTGATAATTCTTGTTCCAGGAAGGAATAACTACGAAATGCATAGATTCGACCTCGTGGCGTGGGGTTAATATTTTTAAAGCTTAATATTCCTTTTTGTCTCCTCGTTTTCCGTCAATGGTCTGGATGTTTCCTTGGCCCGATTTTTCCTTCTCAAAGTCTCGTTCGGTAACCATGGCAGCAGGTAGGAGGATTCATCCATCCATAGCTACTCTCTTGTGACAGACAGACACAAGGAACAATGGCTGACTGGAGCGTACCGGAACTACTTCACTGATGCGTGGGATTCTTTATCTGCTCGCGCCCTCAGAATGGAGACGAACGAATAAAAAATCTTTATCCTGATCGTCAAAGTTCTTGTGTTGTACGCAGTCTAATTCGCGGGTGGGTCTTCCACTTCTGTTAGCAGCGTAAATAAACATGCACGTAACAGAGGCGTCTACGGACGGAAGGTCCTTGGAGAGACTGAGGAGACCTATGCTCGTATAATACGGAAAATGGTAGTGAGGATGGCCGGTCTGCGGGTCGACATTGGAACTTGGTAGGTCTGAAATACGAAGCAGAAATGCTGACAAGTGAACCGCTGTGGTCGAGAGTAAATAAATGGATGAGTGTGCAGACAAGTAATTAAATAAACAAGAAATTGAATATACATAAATAATGGACTGGTGAATCAAATGAACATAACAGATAAATATCGCAGTTCATACTGTAAATATACACGTCTGATCTCGTTGTTAAAATAAACGGCTTCTTTGCGAAACATCTACAGAGCTACGAATATTGTTAATGGGGAGACTTGGTTCCTTTTTTCATGGAGGCTGAAACCGTGGTCTTAAACGAATATAGTATTTGGGCAAACTTCAGGTTGCGAAGTAATGGCATACAAGCAATTTCCCTGTCAAGAATAGGATAGGGGATATAAAGCAGTAAACATTCACAAATAATATCCCATAAGGTCCAAAATCCCTTGATATCATTGTTATGGGGGTACCCCTGGTCGGAATTGGAACAGCTAGGACTATAGGACTCTGAGATCAGGACTCATATTAGGACGATGATGAAAATGGACAATATTGGAACTGTGACATGTCATGAACATCCGAACCCTAGTCATTACTATACAAATTCTGGCTAGTATTAGGGCAGCCGCGATTGGAACAGCTGTTAGGACCGCGACGATTAGGATTTCAGTAAAGATTGGGACTGGGAATTAGGACTTGGAAATGAATTAGGACTAGTCCAAAATCCCTTGACATCAAACGTTCACCAACCATCCATCCATCTCTCGCTTGTTACGTAGATAAGGTATTCTGATTGATTTATTTTCGTCTGCAGGTTATGGACACATCGCTCCTAAGACGCAATGGGGGAAGGTAGTGACGATATTTTACGCCATCCTGGGGATTCCCCTGATGCTGCTGTGTCTCTCCAATATCGGAGACATCATGGCTCAGTCGTTCCGCTTCTTATACTGGAGAGTGTGCTGCTATGTATGCACCAGGAAGCCGAAGAGACCCCCCTCCAGGCGGGGGCGAAGTGTCCGTAGCTCGGCACGACAGTTAGGGTGAGTACACATCTTTATTCGTAGAATTGTGACATGTCTTGTTTATGACCTTGATTTTATTTCTATTTTTGTGGGTCAGGAGGATGGTACAATTTTTTGGTTGGAAGAGACGGTTCCAGTCACCTAAGTGTAGATAAAAGGGTAATATTAAGATGGATCTTAGGGAAATAGGGTGGATGGATGCGACATGGACTAATCTGGCTTATGACAGCAACCGGTGGCGGGTCCATGTGAAGTCGTGAATGAACCTTCACGGGGATTTGACTAGATGAGCGACTATCAATTTCTCAGGAGGGTCTGTACTTAGTAAACTTCGGTCTTAACTTTCGTATATTCATACATTCAGTTGATACAGCGTCTCTGACTGTTTGAAACACGAAGCTCATCTAAAGTCAGCCCGTACCGCGAAGAAAACACAACTCTTCACCATTACAAAGATCAACTGGTTAACGCTGTTTAAGGAAATAATCGCTGTTTATTCTGAAAATCACACGAAAGACGAAAGAAACCCCACTGTGTTGGTAAAATGCAGAGTTACTGACTGTTAAAGTGTCAGTTACTTATGTGCGTTGACACCCTGTTGTGAATCCTTTGTTACCAGTATGTGACGCGTCCTCAGGTTATGTATAGATAGATGACGTGACATGAGAATGGAGATAATTTCAAAATGGAATGCTTCACAGTTCTTATTCCCGAGCGATGATCAAGTTGAAGTTGGTGAGGAAATGTACGTTCGAAACACGTGTTAATCTTAGATGTTGAGCCGTCATCGGCTTATTACCGTATAGATCCAGTCCATTTGTCTTCAGAGACTGGTACGGTAGTCCCATTTGTGGCCTAGGACCCAGTGAGTTTAACTCCACTCCCAGCGTTTTCTCTCTGCCGCCAATACCACGGACTTGCTACAGTAATCAGATAGTAAATTGGTTTAGTAATGACCAGGTGAGATTTCAGGTTCTCAAGACAACGAGTATGAATATGACTGTCATCTGGGATGTTGAAAAAAACTTATATAAATTGACAGGCGTTTCGGAGGCGATTCCTGCCTCCATCATCAGGGCGATGAATTCGTCTTTATGATGTTGAAGGCAGAAACACCTCTGAGAATGTTGGTCAAGTCGCGACATCCCGCAAGACGCTCATGTTCTTAGTAATTAATTTTGTTCTTACGTGTTAATATTCTTCCGTAGATCAAGATATTCCGGTAGGTCCAGGACAGCGTCTTTCCGACGGTCGGCTCGCACTTCACAGCGGTCGGCGGACAGCGCCTTGGGTCTGTCGGAGTGTCGCTCTTCGTACTCGGACACAGACTGCAGGTAGGAACACAGTAGACTGCTAACCTGACCTGACCTGACGTAACCCAACCCAACCCAACCTAACCACTGACCAAGTGCGTGGAGGAGTACTTACTGTAGCGAAAGTCCTGCATCGTATTAGGGAGATCACGGGTTCATATCTCTTCCCATACACCGTGTACCCTGATTAAGATTCCTCGTTATTTTAGAAGTACGAGGTGCGATCGGAAAGTTTCAAGACTGCGCCTATAAAAAACCCGTACACATATCTCAGGTATTAAATTCATCCATCACCCTCGAAGTAGTTCCCCTGGGAGTGAACACAACGATCCCAGCGCCGCTGCCAAGCCTGGAAGCATCCCTGGAAATCTTTCTTTGTCAGCTTGTCAAGCACCATCTGCGATTCTGCCTGAATCTCTTCTATCGTCTCAAATCTCCTTCCCTTTAG